GTCTAGCCTGGGCTGTATGAGATCATGTCTCAAAATCTACAACATTTATTAAGAGGAACTGGGTATGGTGGCACAAGCCTATAATCCTGGGAGGTTGAGGAAGGAGCTTTGTAAATCTGAGGCCAGCCTAGGCTACGTAGCAAAATGCTGTGAATCTCAAAAATCAAAAAAAAAAAAAAACCAAGATGTTATCTTTCGTGTTACATATTACACATAGAATGTTAAAAAAAGAAAGGATCAAAATTCAAGTCATAAAACACATGAAGCAAAATCAGGGAGTTTCTTCCTAGGGATGCAAACATGAGGGGAATCAGCCTCCTTTTATAGCCCTTCTGCCTAGCTCAGAAGCTGTTCTGGGCTAGCCCCAAGCTGGGCAGACTTTGCAGCTTCTCACAGGGCTGTGAAGAGACTGAAGAGGTCCTTGAAGGTGTCAGACTTGCTATGGGCCCCCAGTTGTAACTCTTCAGAAACCACTGGCTAAGAGAACCCCTACTGTGTGTCTGCCATGACTGAGTAGTATAGGAATTCTTTCACCCAAGGGTGCTTCATCACATCCGTCACTGTAAAATGTTTATCATTCCACAGCTTTGCTCCTTTGTCACCGTCTTAGTTAAGGTTTTATTACTGTGAAGAGACACCATGGCCATGGCAGCTCAACACATGGCAATGCACACACACACACAAACACACACCAAAGAAACAACAACAAAAACCTCTTCAGTGTAACCTCAGGCGTATTTTTTAGACAAGAGCAGAAAGCAGCCACACTCTTAACCAAAATATCCCAAGAATGTTCTCTAGGCCACATGTTACATTCTTCTGCCTGAAACCGCTTGAGCCAGATCCCCACAGTTCAAATCCCGCCCCCAGCACCACTGTCTTCCATGCTCCTGCTAGTATGGCCCATTAAACTCCATTTAAAGCATTCAACTTCTTTTCTAATCCACAGTCTCAAGGTTTGTAGTCCTCCAAACAAAACATGGCCAGGCCTCTCACAGCCCCAGTTCCTGGTACCAACTTCTGTTTTAGTTAGGGTTTCTATTGCTGTTAAGAGACACCATGACCACAGCAATTCTTGTAAAGTAAAAAATTTAAGTGGGCTAGCTTACAGCTCAGAGGTTTGGTCCATTGTCATCATGGCAGGAAGCATGGCAGTGTAGAGGCAGACATGGTGCTGAAGAAGGAGCCAAGAGTCCTATATCTAGATCCATAGGCACCAGGAAGAAGAGACAGTGAGCCACTGGGCCTTGTTTGATTTTCTGAAACCTCAAAGCCCATCCCCCAGTGATACACTTCTCCCAGCAAGGTCACACCTACTCCAACAATACAACTCCCTACGAGTCTATGGGGGCATTTTCATTCAGACCACCACAGTCATGTATGACTTGGATATAATTTACTCTTTCGAGTTACCTTTCAATCTGCTTTAAACAATTTTTTAACTTATTTTATATTTTTTTATATCATATCTCTTTGTATAGTCCAGGCTGGTCTAGAACTTACTATGTAGTCAGGAGACCTCAGACTTACTGTCTAGCCCAGGTTGGTCTAAGCAAATGTTCTTCCTGCTTTTACCTTTGTGTGATGAATGTTCTACCACATACAATTTTCTGGGATTTAAAACACACACACACACACACACACACACAACACACTAATTTTTTAAATTAAATTGTGTTTTGAATTCTTAATTTTATACTAAACCGAGTTTATGGCATTAGTACATCCTCAATTTAAAAATATTGTAGGGCTATTTCTACTATATAACTATAAAAGTGAAAGAATTATAAATTGCATTTTGCAAATCCACTGTCAGATGTTTAGTGACTTAAAACAGAATCGGGTGTCCTTTTCCTTCTCTCTCCAGGCCTGGGAAACAGTGAGACTGGAGTACATGGCAGATCCTACCCTCATCTCTTCATACAGGCAAAAGTTAATCAACTATTTCACCTCCCAGCTCAGGTACAGAAATGTCCTCCCTGTTCTACAACATGCTTTGTCTTTGAATTCTTGTTTCTCTCTCTTAGCTTCTAAGTTAAAGTGTAAAATTCAGCCAGGTCAAGTGGCACAGGCCTTAATACCAGTGTCTAGGGAAACTGAGGCAGGAGGAGTGCAGGTTTAAAGCCTGTCTGGGCTACTGAGCGAGTTCAAGTCTAGCCTAAATTTAGTGAGAACTTCCTTCCTTCCTTCCCTATCTCAAAATTAAATAAATAAGTAAGCAAATAAATAAATGAACAAATAAATAACATTAAAGGCAAGAAAGTAGTCCAGTATCTACCTAATATCAAGAAAAAAATGCCATTTTATGGAAATCTTATGATAAAGGTAAAACCTTGGATGACATTGATAAAAGATCAATTTGTTACCTTTATTTTTATTCTGTTTAAATAACTAAAATATATATCATACATGTGCATGCTGTCTCTCATGCGCACACACACAAGTACATGTACCTCTGTGTGTGTATATTAGGTCCTTTGAAGGTTTTTTTGCCTTCGTTTGGGAAGAGACCTTTGGCCTGTGGACTTTGAATGCTCTGGGGCTTTCACTTTCCCAACCCCTTCAATATTTCAGTGTTTTATCTTCTTCATAGTGGCCTGGGGAAGAGTCTGCTCCAGAATATCAGGGGGTTTATCTCACAGTGGGGATGGTAAACGTTTTTGATATTGGCCTAGCTGAAGGTCTCACCGTGTGACCTCCTTTCTCCCGCAGTCAGGACAGAGTGACCTGGAGAAGCGCAGACGAGCTCCCGTGGCTTTTCCAGCAGCAAGGAAGCAAACAGAAGCTGCAGGACTGCCTCCTCAATCTCTTGGTGTCTCAGGACCTTTACAAGAGGTCCGCAGCTCCTTCTGGATCCTCTCCCCGTGGGCCGATTTAAACAGTTAGTGGTTCTGCTTAACAACGCTGACAAAATGGAATTGTTTTTACATTTAAATCAGAATAGTTTCAGTAGCACCTGAAATACAGACAGTGGGGCTCAGGGGATTCCGTGACAGTTTATAAATTGTCAGGAGATCTTGTTTGTCCAGGGGGAGGTATGTTCTGCTTTACAAAAGTCAGCTGCAATGACCCCAGGGCAATTTTGTCTTATTCTTGCAGTTAAGCAGATTTTAAACCATGGGGAGAAATTGTTCCTACCATGAGCTTCTTGGGGCTTCAGGCCCAATGAAGTGCCACTTCAAACCCGATTCAGGGCTCCCAGTGAAACCCGACCAGTGCTATTGTCAATATTGCTCTGGTTTGTCAGCATCTTCTGCTGCCCCTCTGGATGCATTTGAATGTGTTATTGGCGTGACTGTCCTTTTATTGCCCCCCCCTTCTAACCTACTAAGCCTCAGGAAGGATTTTTTCTTTGGTTTTTTATTTCTGCCTCACTTAGGAATTTAAAAATAGATATATAATTTGATTTGCTTGAGCTCCATGCCAGCTGTTTATGATTCCTGTGAAGTCAGGTTTGCCTTTGCCTTGGCATCTCTCTCACCCTCCTCAGTATTACCTGCAGATGAACACGGTCACACACATGCATACACACACATACACATGCACACGCTCACACACACACACACACACACACATCCATGCAGAGGCAATCACAAGGTAGATTTGTGATGGGAGTTGATCTGCTTCACTAGTTTCTGCTATTCTAACATACACTCGTGCACATTCACGCGCACACACACACACACACACACACACATACACCCATGTAGAGGCAATCACAAGGTAGATATGCAATGGGAGCTGATCTACTGCACTAGTTTCTGCTATTCTGACACACACGCACACGCACTCTCACGTGCACGCACACATGCAGAGGCAATCACAATGTGGATATGCAATGGGAGCTGATTGGCTTCGCTAGTTTCTGCTATTCTAACACACAAACACGCACATTCATACACACACACACACGCACACACACATGTAGAGGCAATCACAAGGTGGATATGCAATAGGAGCTGATCTACTGCACTAGTTTCTGCTATTCTAACTCCCATTGTTTAAAATGACTTGGGCATGAGCTGGGTTACCCTTAGTGAAATATCTACCAGGGATTCCAGGGAATCTGCACCAGAGACTAAGCAAGATCTTAGTGACAGCTGGCAGCTTGCAAAGGCCTTCCCGCCATGCTGTGCACTCACACAGCAGGCGAGGCTGACATCCCTTTCTGTGCAGACAATGGTGGTGGGGGGGTGTCAGACAGTCTCCTTCATGCCACAGCTGGGAGCAGTGGGACAGGGGACAATGCAAGTCTGGCCTCACTGTCACTGTGCTATGATTGCCTCTGTACAAACTGTCATCAGCTCCCTAGAAAGGAATTCCGGCGTTTTTATTCACAGTAGATTTTAAAGTATGGTTTCTATCAAGTTAACATTGTCTGTTGGAACAGAGGACACTTTGCCGAGTTGCTGAGTTACTGGCAGTTTGTTGGCAAAGACAAAGGTGCCATGGCGGCCGAGTACTTTGAGTCCCTGAAGCAGTATGGGAGCTGCGAAGGGGAGGAGAACATGCTGTGCCTAGCTGACTTGTATGAAACCCTTGGCCGGTTTCTAAAGGACCTCGGACTTCTCAGTCAGGTAACCTCAGTGATTCAGAGGCAGGGTGACTCTCCCTGTTTCCATGTTTATATGTCTCTTCTTCCCAGGAGGGGAGCCGTTTTCTTTCTGATGCTGAGATCTGTGGGGTTTGATTAGCCCTTTAATTGCCACGTTGATCAGCCTCTGACCTTTGTTCCCAGGCTGTGGTGCCCTTACAGAGGTCCCTAGAGATTCGGGAGACCGCGTTAGATCCAGACCACCCGAGAGTAGCCCAGTCCCTCCACCAACTGGCCAGTGTGTACGTCCAGTGGAAGAAGTTTGGGGACGCAGAACAGTTGTATAAACAAGCCTTGGAGATCTTGGAAAACGCTTACGGCGCCGACCATCCACACGCTGCCCGGGAGCTCGAGGCTCTCGCAGCTTTGTACCATAAGCAAAATAAGTAAGTCTTCCGTGACTCACGCGTTGACGTCATGGAGGGGGCGGGTGTTTCTAAGGCATGGAAGCAGTAGGCTTTTCTTTGGGGCCCTTTATCCCATGCATTATGTTCAGGCGGCATTTCCTGGTCTTCCTGGGATACAGAAAGAAAATTAGAATCCCTGGGTCTTTGGTTTTTGGTTTTCATTGAAGATGTATGAGGGATAGAGCGTGTGTGTGTGGAAGTAATGCAGTTTGAGGTTTGAACTCTTCCCCCAGCCATCACTGTAAAGCTGAACACATTACCACTTCAGGGACCACCAGTCAATGCCTAGTGGCCAAGGCCAGTTTGGCAAGAAGGTTTTATGGACTCCCAGACACATTTTTTATTATGTTTTTTCTGTGGTTGCCTCTGTGCGAAGGTTTCCTTAGTTTTGACAGAGGCCACGTGCTCACAAAGTCTACACTATCAAGCACACACTCTTTATAGGAAATGTTGGCTGGAGGAAGTATAATAAAGGCTCACAAAGTAAGGGTATGTGTCAGCAATAGAGCACCTGCCTAGCCTGTGTATGGCCCCGGGTGGGATTCCTGGTGCCATCTGAGTAAAACAATAGCCTTTTAAAGGCTTTTCTACCTACAGGGCCCCCTCTCTCAGAAATCCTTTCTCTTCCCCCACCATTGGAGGGGCTTCCTAGAAATTTTTCTTTTGAACTTCTGTAAGTATGGCTTTACACTAACTTTGTCTGGAGTTTTGCATCTATAGCTAACCAAAAATTAGCCTGTCCAGGTAAAATGTGCTTACTGCAAACCAAAGTTTGGGATTTTTCAATGATTTAGACTGCTAGAGATTCAGACTGCATTAAATCAGTTAAAATATTTAAATGTGAGCCTTATGAGGACTCTGTGGGTTTCCTGGTAGAGTTTGAACTGCACGAGCTGCCACTCGACTCCTGTTGTTTTAACAAACCCCAGGCTGTGCCAGAGTGTTTTCATCTCCCTGAATCATGATTCTGCTCTTGGAATATGCTCTTTCCCCTGACTCACCATTTTCCCTCTCTCCTCCCCCTTCTCTTTTTTTTTTTTTTTTAAAGATATGAGCAAGCTGAACATTTTAGGAAAAAATCCGTTATAATCCGTCAGCAAGCCACAAGAAGAAAAGGCAGCCTGGTAATGAGACTGTGTCCTTTCTGTCCTTTGCACCCGAGGGGAAGATGAGATGGGAACTCATGAGTGCACACACCTTGTGGCTGGAGAGCTTCCGGTTTCCACAGATGTGGAGCGAGGCACTGACTGGCCTTTTCCCCTTATTTCTAACCACAGACTGAGAGTGGTGCTGGTGAACAGCCCAGCCCCGAGTTGGGCTTTTAAGTTAGGAAGCTCAGCTGAAGTGGACCCTGGGAGGTGCTGTTTCAAGCTACTTTGACTCTTTTCTGCAAAGAGTTAGGAAGAAAATAGAAGTTCAGCATCTTCTGTGAAATTCAAATGAGAAAGAACTGTTTTCCATGAGCAAACATAATGTTTTAAGTGTTTCTAAGTTGCTGATAGAACCCTAAGTATAGCATGTTTGGCTTAAAGTTCTCTATTCGTGGAACTGAGGAGATAGTCAGTGAGCAAAATGCCTGCTGCACCAACATGAGGACCTGTGCTGGATCCCCAACCCTCACATTAATAAAATCAAAGGCAGGCCTGCTGGCATTCTTGTAATCCCAGCTCTGTGGAGGTAGACACCGGAGGATCACTGTCACTTTCCTAGCCTGGTTGGTGATCCCAGGTCCCAGTGAATGACGCCATTTCTAAAAATAAGGTGGGCAGAAACTGAGAGTCAACACCGGGGACCTGCCGTAGCTGACAGCTGGCTTCCGCCTGCACGCTGTGCGCACATGCACGGTTATCGCAAACTGAAAGGACCTGATGTTTGTATCTGTAGCACCAGAGTTGGTAAAGATCAGTGAGCTGTTTCTAGTCTTTTCTGAAGTGCTTTGACATATACCATGCTAAAACACCTGATAAAGTTTAATGAATTTGTGAACAAGATTCCATGTAGAAATAAATACACAAACTCTTTATAAATGCTACATTCAATGTGCTATTTAAAATAACTGCCATCAAGACAAAAGAGAAAGCTCTGTTAGGACACCAGTAGATGCTTCCAGAATCGAGGTTGGTGCTCAGTGGTTACGCTTTTGTGTTGCAGTACGGGTTTGCCCTGCTCCGCAGACGGGCTCTGCAGTTAGAAGAGCTCACGCTAGGCCAGGAGAAGCCTGAGAACGCCCGCACCCTCAACGAACTGGGCGTCCTCTACTACCTTCAAAACAACCTCGAGTGAGTACCAGGGCATTCAGAAGGAGATTAAGTACTCACTGTGGCTCTTTGGTGCGAAGCTGTTTTATATGTCAATCAAATCCACAGTTAGGGGAAACAAAGACTTAGAAAAGAACTCTGCCAGCTTCCTGTCTGAGGGGTTTTCCTTTCTCAGTGTTGTTCTGCAGCTCCCCTAGTGTGGCCTTTGTGCTTGTGAAAAGTGAGTGCTCATATATGAGACCTCAGAGGCAATTCCAAACTGTGAGGGGTTGGTAGAAACCATGGCCGGCTGCTGCCTTACCCTTTAGTTCACGTCAACAGAAGAGCCTCCACACACTTCCACCTCCACTGTCTGAAAGCCACATGTGTATAGGTCTCTTCAGCTGCCAGAAACAGCCAGTAAATTTGAAACGTCAGAAAAGTGCCACTCCCATCTGATGTCACACTAGTTCAGAATTACATATGATAAAGGGGGATTTATTTAGGAGTAGACTCACAGATCATCGTCCTAGACCACAGTCCTCTGCACGAATGGGGAACAGGAACAGAGTCTCGCAGCCAGAAGGGAGAGCTGGAAGCAAGAGAGCAAGTGCAGGCTTTACAGCTGCATTTATAGTGTAAGAGACCACGCCCAAATGGGCTGGTATCTTAAAGGCTCTTGGCAGCAGAAGGAGCTCCCACAGCATTCATCCACTTCGCTTAAGTTCTGTTTACTAACAGGTTTTGTTTTGTTGGTACTAACTCCTAAGGAAAAGGAAGGGATGCCAATCTTTCATTGGCACAGGTCTGATCACTATAAAGGTCTTAGGTTCCCAAAAATAGCTGTGGGATTTTCTGGGAGAAGTGGATGGTGAACTGATGCCTCATGGGAAGCCAAGGGTGGGGAAGGTGGAGGGCTGGGTTTGGCCTGACTCCTTCACTTTGGTGTGTCTAGGAAGAAACAGGTTTCTATTCTCCACATCACTAGACTTTAGGACGCTGGCCTCTAGAGAAGAAATTGTTTAAGGCATTTGGGGGTTTGTTCCAGAACGGCAGAGCAGTTTCTGAAGCGTTCCTTGGAGATGAGGGAGCGGCTTCTGGGGCCAGATCACCCAGACTGTGCCCAATCCCTGAATAACTTGGCGGCTCTTTACAATGAAAAGAAGCAGTATGATAAAGCCGAGGAACTCTACGAGAGAGCCCTGGACATCCGCAGGCGAGCCTTGGCACCTGACCACCCTTCCCTGGCTTACACAGTGAAGCATCTCGCTATCTTGTATAAGAAAACTGTAAGTCTGCCCCACCATGCCTGTGTGCTTTATAATGTACCCGCGAGGCCATGACTACTGCAGCTAGTTAGTTTATCACCTGATGGGAGGTTGTTTCAGGTGAGCTTTTAAAAACAACGTTGTTTAATTTCTAGCAAATAAGAATGTGAAGGTTTATATTGTTTCAGATTTAATTCAATTAAGATACTGATTTAGTTTTCTGAAAATATATTCCAACTACAAATCCACCAGCATTGTAAATGAGTTCCTTTCAAATACAAACTGCTTTATCAACATTATGAATGAGATCTCTTTTTATATTATATCTCAGGAATTTTCAAACCCCCTTACTGTACTTGCTGTTAACAAAAACACACCAAATGGCCCAGTGGCCAAGGCTGCAGACAGTGCCTTATTTTTTTTTTAAATTTTTTTATTTTACAAAATTGTTGTTTTATTTCACTCTTCTCTGAGTTTATCTACAATTAAATATCAGCTCTTTTCAGGGGTAAAGTTTGGGTTCTTGTATCTGTGCAAAACAAAACTTGGCCACAGTCTGCTCTGAGTGGTGCGGTGGCAGAGCTGTCGGCTGTCCTGAGAAGTTGGGTGGCTCCCTTGCTGGTGGCCCAGGCACAGAATCTCACGTAGTGAGCTCATATGCTGTTTTCTCAGGCTAGCTTTTGTAGCTGAGAAATCACCAGGAAACCCCAGAGGGGACTTGGCAGTTTGGAAGTGGTTTTATTTTGATGCCTCCATGAGTTGAGTACAGCAACAGATCTGCGCTGGGCTTTTCTCCCACCGCAAACACTAAAGAGTAAATAGAGCGTTTTCCAAGTTATCAGACAGTGGCTGTGTTCCCAACGGCTCCGTTTGGTCTATTGGGTTTTCAGCTGTAGAAAGTGCTTCTGCATCTTTGTTTGATGCATTTATTTCTGGGGAGAGCTCTGGTCAGACAGTATCTATTATAGCTTTCATATTGTTGTTAGATTATGTTCTTGTTTTTTAGGGAAGAGTTGACAAAGCTGTACCTTTGTATGAATTAGCTGTTGAAATTCGGCAGAAATCCTTTGGCCCAAAGCACCCCAGTGTTGCTACTGCCTTGGTGAACTTGGCAGTCCTTCATAGCCAAATGGTAAGCATCTACATTTTCAGATGTTTACAAATGAATGATCTGAAGGTTAAAAAAAAATGGATAAATGCAAGTTAATAACACAGTAAAGAAAATAATGCTATTTATCATTTAATGATTCTCTTTTAAATACCTCAAACATTATTGAAGTTAGAATTGTAAGCTGGTTCCTGCCTCAGCTAAACACCAACTGACTGCTGGGTTCAGGTTTGCTTTTCATCTTCTAGGGACCCCTGTTGCTCACAGGACAGGCTCTGAGCATCTGCCTAGGGACCTGCCGGGCCATGAGCAGGCTTGTGCTTACATTACGGATTCGGGTCAGTTGGTGCTAGGACAAGTCTAAAACTTAAAGGAGTTTTTACTTTCTAGTGTACTGATTCTCCAGTTAAAACTGCTCATAAAATAATGTTTACTTGCATCTCATAGGAGGATATTAAGATTTTTAAAATGCTGACCAAAGTAGGTCAGCTCAGTATAGAATACATTAATAAACAGTATGTTTAAGTGAGCACTATTTTTTTTAATAAGAAAAAGCACAATGAAGCCCTGCCACTTTATGAAAGAGCACTGAAGATTTATGAAGATAGCTTGGGGCGGATGCATCCTCGAGTTGGAGAAACATTAAAAAATTTAGCTGTGCTCAGGTAAGAATTTTCCTGGTTTCTCATTTATCCCAGTTCTTGAATAGTTTTGACTTGTCACAGAACAGCATAAAATATTTATTGCTGAGAAGTCTTTCTTGGAGAGAGAAGTAGTTGTTTTGGTCTCGTGTAGCTTTAGATACTCAAGTGATACTCAGAATCAGGGTGAGGTGGGCTTACTTTCGTGTATTGTGGCCACTAGTGAAGATGGTTTATCTGGCTACTGCCTCTGGCATGATAGGGCCACTTACCTCAGAGCTGATGAGGTAGATGTGTTGAGTTTTGCTCACTCCTGTGTGTTCATCTCGGGATACAGATGATAACAACACTTGTTACCATTACAACATGATCTTAATGGTGCACATCCAAGAGACATAAAATTCCCCAGTGTAGACAGGTGAGTTTGAGAACTCTGGCTAACTGGTCTACCAGAGTGAACACACACACACACACACACACACACACACACACACGAGGAGAAAGAAAGTGCAATAGGAATGGGAAATTATTTGCAGCTTATTTTTCTGTGTCTAGGATGGCTGTTTAGAAAGGAGAACTGCTTTCTGCTAATAAGCCTATTTCTTATCTTTTTCTTTCAAAGCTATGAAGAAGGGAATTTTGAAAAGGCTGCTGAACTGTACAAAAGGGCAATGGAGATAAAAGAAGCAGAGGCTTCACTTTTGGGTGGAAAAGCTCCTTCACGGCAGTCGTCAAGTGGAGACACATTTATCTTTAAAGCAACTCATTCACCTAATGTTTTCCTTCCCCAAGGACAAAGGTAACAGTGCCAGGTGTTTTGTTTTGTTTTTTTTTCCCAAGAATACCTCAGGATAAAACAGACATCTGGAACATTTGAATTCAAAACAGTATTTTTAAAGGAAAACATTTTTCCTACTTAGTGTTATTTAACTGTTTGTATGAAGTTGTATTGAATTACACTGAATTATTGTGTCTGGTTTAAATTGATTAAAGAATCCATTTTCCATGGGATGAGATCCGGGGTGTGGAAATCAGCACTCTAATGGCGTGAGGAGTGGGTCGTCTCTGGACAGAAGCAGGCAGGAGCCCATGGTTTAGGATTTCCATGATTCCTTGGCTCCCTGGAGAGCAGCCTTAGCCCTGCCATTCACTGGTGGTGTCCCCAGCAGGGCTCTGACCCTGTCCTCTACCTCAAAGAGTGCCCAAGGGCTAAAGGGATATTACGAAAGATCGGAACAGTCTTCAGAGAAACCAACTAGGTGGGAATTCTTGTTTTTCTTTTTCTGGTTTTGTATGTGAGAATATGCACACACATGTACATGTACATGTGGAGGTCAGAGGTCAGCCCTGTTTTTTGGGGGTTTTTTTTTGTTTTTTTTTTTTTTTTTTTTTTTTTTTTTTGAGACAGTGTCTCAGTGACCTGGTGCTCACTTAGCTAAGCAGACTGGCCTTCCTGCATCCTGGTAACCTAACCACCTGTCTCCACCTCCTGAGACAGGATTACAAGCCTCCATCCCTATGCCCAGCTTCCTAAAGGGGGTTCTGGTGTTGAACTTAGGTCCTTATGCTCACGTGGCAAATGCTTCACCAACTGAGTATCTCCCCAGCCTCCTACTGGGTGTGTGAGTCTGTGCAGCTCAGGTTGATCATCCCCCCCCTTGGCCTCCTGGCTGCTGGGATCACAAGTGCAGGCTGGCTTTGCTTTCCAGTCTTCCTTTCTGCTAAGCTGGTTTAGTCAGCCCTTGCTTTCTGCACTGTTGCCAGGGAAGCTTAGCACACTGTGTTGCATTGCGGTGTCTGAGGGCAACCACGGGCTCCGTACCATTCTGATCTCACTGTGGCACAGGCCTCAGGGTTCTCAAGGACAGGGCCAGCTTAGAGTGAGTTCAAAGTCAGCCTGGGCAACTTAGTGAGACCTTGTCACAAAATAAAAAAGTAGAACTGGGGATATAGTGGTGGCATGCATCAGACCCTGAGTGTAGTCCTCATCACACAAAAAGAAGTCGTGACAATTCTATTTCCTTCTTAAGTGGTCAAAATCAATCTTGCTTTACCTCAGTCAATTAGCTGTCACTTTTATACTGAAAATTAAATATTTTTATAGATTTTTATAAATATTGCCACATCAGTTTTTATTTGTATATTTATAGTAAAATTTTCATCAATTTAAAATTTTGTAAGATCTTAATATGTATTATTATGAAGATGACACAGAAATTGTATTCCATTGTTTTAAAATAAAAGTACAATTGCTAATTTCTCTTCTTTGCACTCTGTACTAAAGGGCTACACTTTGCACAATTATTTAAAAATAAACATTGAACATGTTTTAGCAGACTTGAATATTGGCCAAGTTTACTCAGTACTTTGATCAAGTTGAAGAACTGTGGTGAGCGCAGGCTGGGCCAGTGCCATTGCCATCCAGAACTGGCAGTCGGACTGCAAGGCCTCGCCCTGAGCCACACAGAGGCGCCTGAGAGCCAGGTGGCCAGGTGACTCCTGAGCCAGGGAGCAATGCTAAAATCCAGACTTAAACCAGACAGGAATGCACAAAAGCATCTTCTTCTGCCTTGGGGGGCTCAAGGCTCAGTAGGAAAAAGCTAAACTATAACTGTGACTTATCTTTTAGGGTTTGTGCCTGTGAACGGTAAAAATAATTGAACTCACAAACATATTAGACATTGATCTTACAACTAATTTATCAGAGCTTAAAATCTGATTATTTCATGATTTAATCACTAAATTAATTTTTAATCACTAAAAGTATCGTATTTACCACCTTCAAACAACTTCAATAATCTGTGATCAGTACTCTATAAGAATCTTCAAAAACGCATAATATTCTTTGTTCTTCCAAAGTTTAGATTTGATAACTCTGAAGTGTTGGGGCTGGAGAGATGGCCTAGTGGGTAAGAGCACTGGCTGCTCTTCCAAAGGACTGGGGTTCAATTCCCAGCACCCACATGGCAGCTCACAGCTGTAACTCCAGTTTCAGGGGATCTGACACCTTCACACCAATGCAAATAAAAAATTTTAAAAAATTTTTTAAAAAAACTAAAATTTTAAGTGACTTTATGGCACACATTATAACTGAGGTGGTCACTCATATATATATTTCAAATTAAGTATGTAATAAAATTATTTTATCTATTATTTTTATCTCATTATTTACTAGCAGTATTTTTTGCTTTCATGAGAATGCCTAAGATAAAACTACAACAAACATTTGTGTATAGATCTGCAATCTGAACAGTAAGATTATGTTCACACTAACATAGATGTGAGTCTCAAATCATGTTCACACTAACTTATTTGATTCACAGATTACACTACCATAGATGTGAGTCTCAGATCATGTCATTAACATACACCTCCACAGCAAAATGGTAATTTTCAGACCAGTCCCTCATAAACAATTGGTAGGAACCAAGTTTTGCTATAAGTTGTCCTCAGTACTTTACAGAAAGGGAAACAGGAAAAGCAAAAATGTGATTTGAGGCAAAGCTTCTCTGACATAGTCTTAGAGCCACCGCCTTTCCCTTTGGCTCACATTTGTGGGCATCAGCGAGTATTTTCATGAGAAAATACAAAAACCTGAGCAGAACCACAGATTACCATTCTACTAACAATAAGAAACAAAGTGATGAACAGCTTTACTATCATCTAGACTCTGGGTGTTAAGACGATATTGGGACCGCTCTCCTTTCTCTCATTAGGATTCATAGTATTTACAAATCTGGCCAAACCTCTGGTAATTCACAACTCAGTGGTGTTAATTCTCATTCACTGCCTGCTACCCCTTAAGTCTTTGTGGCTATAGACTATGAGGAGAGTAATATGGGATCAATTGGTACTTACTGCTGTACTTTATTTTTACTTATTTTTGAGATGATAATCCAGTAGTTTCCAATGAAAGATACTAGCAAAGTGAGACACTTTAGAATCTGGTGCAGCCTAAGAACCAGAAAGAGCAGATCTGTAGAAGACAGTGGATCCTATGCTATGTATTGTGCCTTAACCAAACCTGACAGTCAAACAATTTCAAGTAAACCTTAGAAAATTCATGGGTCACTGTTTCTAAATATTCTGAAAATAAATTTCATTTTAAAAATTTAAAACATATCTAGCAACTTGAAAAGTTATTCTCCAATCTAATATGCTAAGTTCTGTGAAAATATTTATAAAAATTTACCAAGATAATATGAATGTTAAGTTTCAAAGTTAGGCATACTCCCTTCCTGTCTTCATTATAAACATTAAAAAAATCACATTTAATCCTAGAATCTCAAAGTTAGTACATTAAACTGATGCCTAGAATTGGTCTTTACAACTTTATTTTAGAAATGATACTTTTAACTTTTGTTAACATTTCCCAATACACACAATTTAGATATTTATAGATTCAATTATCTTCAAGGTACAAATCGTCAATAATTCACATGTCATCAGTTTACAATTTAAGTGGTCAGTCAAGAAATAGAACCCCTTCCAGGGAACAAATACCTGTCATTCATTGCAAAAGCAATTTCGAGTTCTTCATTTTGCCCACTACTCAGGACAAGCCTTGCTAACATCTGTTTAGGGAATCAAGCTGAAGTATTCCGGAGCAGCCTATATGATGTACACAGTCTCTTTGATGTACAGTCTCTATGATGCACAGTCTCTATGATGCAGACAGTCTCTATGGTGCACACAGTCTCTATGATGGAGACAGTCTTTATGGTGTACACAGTCTCTATGGTGCACACAGTCTCTATGATGTAGACAGTCTCTATGATGCAGACAGTCTCTATGGTGCACACAGTCTCTATGATGTAGACAGTCTTTATGGTGTACACAGTCTCTATGGTGCACACAGTCTCTATG